GTCGGTTGACCTGTCGGTTGACCTGTCGGTTGACCTGTCGGTTGACCCAACGGCCAACGATCCCATGGCATCTCTTGGCTCCGTTTTTTGAGCGCAATGGGTATGGCAGGGCTTCATGACTTGATTCGTGCAGTTTCTGTGGATGCTCTCCCCCTTTTTTTTGGCACTCTTTCAACATGTCAAATACTTCAACAAGGCTAATCCATGCTAATCCCTTAGGCCCTTGCTGTGCGTCCTGAAAGGTGCTGTCTCGGTGGATCCTTGCATGTCGGGGGGCGCCTTCCCGGCTTCCCGCGTCACCGTCACCCCGTTTTCGGTGGAGAGGGGAACGCGGGAGATCCAAACGTCCCAAAACGGGGAATCCGTGGGCCTCGAAACGAAAGCATACCCTGCAAGCTCGTGGTTGCTTTTTTGGGGTCGGTGGTTCAACATACCTTTATTTAGGTCTGTGAACCATTGTGAACCACATAAACATCCGCAACCGATATATAATATAGACATCCGCTCAGAAGACATGTTCGGGCGTTTATACACAAGCTAAGGGCGTTTATTGGGCGTTATGTTTTTCCCCGAGCATGTTTTTTTAAGCGGATGTCTATATCGGTTGCGGATGTTTATGTGGTTCACAATGGTTCACAGACCTAAATAAAGGTATGTTGAACTACCGACCCAAAAAATGCAACCACGAGCTTGCAGGTATATTATGTTCCCTATAGGGATCCAAGTAAGTACCTCCTCAAAAGGTACGACTGGACCCTCCAAATCCACCCACCCACCCCAGAAGAAAACGCCGCCCGGAGCTCTGATCTTGGTCGGATGGACCTTCCCAGGCGGCGCAATGGGAGCGACGCAACCCACTGTTCAACACACTGGATCAGAGCGACGCAAGGACGTGGGGGACAATCCTAGACACAAAAAAAGACACAGATGAGACGGATGAAAGAGGTCTTTGGCAGCAAACCCGAGCCAACCTGTGGTGTGGCCAACGTTGAATCCCCTATGATGCCCCCAAAGGCGGACAGTGGCCAAACCATAGAGGAAACCATCCTTGGTTGGGTTGTTTGCTTCCTTTCTTGGGACTGAACCTACACCTGTAAATCTGTAACACCCACCAAGTATCATCAAGTCATCAGGCCGTTCGATCTAGACACCCTCACCCACATAATATTGTACATATGCAGTGAACCCCAACAAAGATCTTCAGAAGGTAACTCTGAAACACCTTCAAACCATGTACGTACATACTAGATCAATGACGCAATATGATCAATGGATCTCCATTTCGGATCTCCCCCCTAACACTGATTAGCGGTTTCCTTCGCCGAACCCGTGCGGCGGACCGAGCGCCGGTGGTTCCGGCGAGGCAAGAACGACTGCTTCCGGGCGAACTCCATCCGAGTGCTCAGCCGAGTCCTGGACCCGGCGCCTGGTCTTGGACCGGAAGAGCTGGGAGGGGCGCTTTTTCCAGGGGGTGGGGTGGGATGCTGGGATGGGTTGCTTGGTGGCAGAGTTCCTTTCTCAGATCCATTCAGAGACTGGCCAGGGGTGCTGGTTTCAGAGGTGGCATAAGATAATATGGGAGAGTCTGGGTTTTTAACGGGCTTTTTCAGATCGTGCAAGGCCCGGTCCGCGTGTTGGCTTTTGGTCGGATCCTATGATCTTTTTTGGGGGGGTCTCATCAGTTCTGGTAAATGTTGGTTGAAGCAATAGAAACAGATGGCGGTGGCAGTGACAGGCCTCCAACTACCCAAACGACCCCAGCATCAATCGTTTTTGGCCTCTTCGCGATCCTCCACATCTCAGGCTATGGCTGCGCAGATCGACAGATATCTGAAGACCGCCATCGTGGCTTGGGCAAACCATTTTGGCGATCTCTGGAGGTCCTTGATCAAAATCTGAGAACCCCAGACGTCTTGAAACAACCTTTGTTCGAAAGGGGTAGTGTTTAGTCAGAATCCAGGGGCCGTGGATGTGACAATGACGCGGAACTGCTGGTAATTATATCAATCATCAATGAACCCCGACAGGCCTCGGTGGAAGTGGCTGAAGTCATCCAGAAGCATCCAGCATGGCACTCCACAGATCGGTCGGTGAGCTGCAGAGAGTTCTTCTTGGCACTCAAGACTGCACAGATTTGGCTGTGTATCAACACCTGGAGCCCCAAAGCCTGGTAGATGGACCTCCTTAGCAGTCTATTCCGTCCATACCCTTGGTGGGACCGACACCCGAACGACGTGTCGTGTGCTATCTTGACCCAGCCGTGCTATCATGTGCTATCTATAAATCTATAGAGGTCCTTTCTACCTTGGGAACCCGCAGTGTTCCCTCTCGGGTTTCTTCCTCTCCCTCTCCTTCCTTTGTTGGAGTGTCAGATCTCCTACCCAAGGGCAGCAACCAACCACGCTCCGCATCATTTGTATACCTTCGCCTCATCTCGTCATCCGGGATGGTTCACCGAAAGAAACGAGTCTGGAGGTGGTCCTTGAAATCCACACGGTCCACTCGGTCCGCCATGCCCGCCAGGTTGACAAGAATCCCTTTGTCTCCTCCTCAGCGTTGGTCTGTGGCATGACCCTGTGGCTTGGTTCGACGGACATCGCGCACCCGGCCCCGACCGCGCTGCGAGGTGGTGAGGGAGCGACCCTTGGAGCTCTGGGGGGAGCTCTAGGAGCTTCAAACCTTCATGATAAGATATTCTAAGCATGCAGCCCCATACGAGTGAAATCATTCCCAGACACGACCCATGGACTGGTAATGCAATTAGGATCAATTATGCCTACATTGACTCCTCAAACCACCCCAATGCAGGCATATATATGGCATACATGGAGTGTCTTTTATGTCCATGTAGATCAGGTATGATCCATGCGTTGTGACATACGAAGTGGAAATTCCACAAGGGGCCGCCTAGCTTGGGCTGCGTCCTTATTACGGTCAGTCAACGAAACGCGTTTCTCATCACAAAAGTTCACTAATTTATGATGGACCTGACCCAAGAATTCACTTAAGACACTTTATTTTGTATGGCCCCTGCTTTCGTCATGCGCGGGTCCCAAATCCCAGGCATGCCACGGTACCAGACGTGGTGAAGCGGTGGGTGAACGAGATTCAGGACGTTCCGGCAGGGAGGTCAATGCTTTTCGACGACCATCGAAGGACGATAGGAACGACTGACTGCCAGGTTTCGGGAGATGGTCTTGGACTTCCAGCCGAGACAACACCCAACATGTTGAATAGACTCGGCCGTGACGATTCGTTTTTGAATCCATTTGATCCACGATGATTTGGGGCAAACCATGTTGAGGGCAAGGAGAGTTGAGCAGGCCAAGGGATGTGAAGGGATGTGAATCGGTTTCCAGCCATTCGTTTTTGGCGTCGACCGGGTTTGGAGTTTCTGGTGAAGCGAGTTTCAGGGTGTCAAGAGGACAGAGTGGACGTGAGACATGACACAAGGGTTAGATAAAGTGGAAGTTTGATCATCGTCATGATGATGATGATGATGATGATGATGATGATGATGATGATGATGAT